TTGTCCGAAATGCACAGTATGCTAATGACTTTCTTTTATGCCAAACAATATTTTATTACATGTAAACATTACCTGTATACTGCAGGAAAGAAAGAAATTATTTTATATTTGTATTTATTATTATTTTTTTTATTCATCAATATTTAGTTTTATGAAATTGTCAGACGCAGACAAGCAAAAGTGGTGGAAGAGAGAGGTGTAAATTACAGCAATAATAGCAAAGTAGAAGATATAATTTGAGTTGGTATGTCTAAGCGTGGCATGAGATGTCTTGTATGTATATATAAGACAGCTGAGAAGAACAAAGAGAGGTGGAGCTGAGAACATGGAAGACCTCAGAACCTTGCGACTCGTTGAAGACAGATCGGGAGAGCACTCTGGAGACTCATTATTGAGCTCATTTGACTCAGTGGTTCATTCTTTGAATCTGCATATTGGAGAGCATAAATGCGCTCGTACTAACGATAACATGAACAACGTGTTCCAGATCACAGCTCTCATAATCCTCATGAAATATAAAGACAACAAAATGATTATTAAATAAACAGAGCTTTGCAGGTGGACATGACTAGATTCACTTCCCATTTTAGTTAAATAAAATTACCCAAAATGGCTATCAGGCTTTTGCCTTTCTGACTTCATAGGCCATATATACATATATGTCATTAGGAAATGTGTGTGTGTGTGTGTGTATGTATTTGTATTCACCTAATTGTGGATACAGGGGTCGATTCATAGTTCCTGGCCCCGCCTCTTCACGGGTCGCTGCTTGGTCGACACTCTCCCTGCTCCATAAGCATCACTCTCCAGACTGTTCCACTTCCTGACAACTCTAAGACCCTAAGAAGCACTTCCTAACATCCCTGTGACTCGTGTGAGTTTTCAACTTCCAGTTGTAACTACCCCTTGTTGCTGTGTCACATCTCTGAAACATTCTGTCCCTATTCACCTTGTCAATTCCTCTCAGTATTTTATATGTTGTTATCATGTTTCCCCTCTCCCTCCTGTCCTCCAGTGTCGTCAAGTTGAGTTCCCTTAATCTCTCCTCGTAAGACAAACCCTTCAGCTCCGTGACTAGTCTTGTTGCAAACCTTTGCACTTTCTCTAATTTCTTGATCCTTTTCCTTGAGTTTTGCAACCTCTGACCTCTTAGACTGTACTCCGTCTGCGGTCTCCTTTGTCCTCCCCAAGCTTCATAAATTTGCACTTGCTGGGGTTAAACTCCAGGAGCCATTTGTCGGACCAGGCTTGGAACCTGTCCAGATCCCCTTGTAGGCTTACCTGATCCTCGTCCGCTTTATGTGTGTGTGTGTGTGTGTGTGTGTGTGTGTGTGTGTGTGTGTGTGTGTGTGTGTGTGTGTGTGTGTGTACTCACCTAGTTGTACTCCCCTAGTTGTGGTTGCAGGGGTCGATTCATAGCTCCTGGCCTCTTCACTGTCCGCTACTAGGTCACTCTCCCTGCACCATGAGCTTTATCATACCTCTGCTTAAAGCTATGAATGGATCCTGCCTCCACTATATCGCTTCCCAAACTATTCCACATCCTGACTATTCTGTGACTGAAGAAATACTTCCTAACATCCCTGTGATTCATCTGTGTCTTCAATTTCCTTGTTGCTGTGTCCCATCTCTGGAACATTCTGTCTCTATCCACCTTGTCAATTTCTCTCAGTATTTTATATGCCGTTATCATGTCCCCACTATCTCTCCTGTCCTCCAGTTTCGTCAAGTTGATTTCCCTTAACCTCTCCTCGTAGGACATACCCCTTAGCTCTGGGACTAGTCTTGTTGCAAGTCTTTGCGCTTTCTCTAGTTTCTTTACGTGCTTGGCTAGGTGTGGGTTCCAAACTGGTGCCGCATACTCCAATATGGACCTAACATACACAGTGTACAGGGTCCTGAACGATTCCTTATTAAGATGGCGGAATGGTGTTCTTAGGTTTGTTAGGCGCCCATATGCTGCAGTAGTTATTTGGTTGATGTGCGCCTTAGGAGATGTGTGTGTGTGTGTGTGTGTGTGTGTGTGTGTGTGTGTGTGTGTGTGTGTGTGTGTGTGTGTGTGTGTGTGTGTGTGTGTGTGAGTGAGTGAGTGAAAGTCGGTCTGTCAGTCAGGTTAGAGAGAGAGAAACAGACAGACAGACATCATTTCTTCATTCTGATATTCGGTCTGAACAACAAATGAACCGCTTGACTATGTCAACATTCTTTTAGGCATTAAGGTGCTGCCACGTGGTTGGCTAATTAGATATTTGCATTGACGATCAGGTGTATAGGTACCTAATAAAGTGGCCACTGAGTGTACTCACCTATTTGTGGTTGCAGGGATAGAGTCTAAGCTCCTTGTCCCGCCTCTGCACTAGTTGCTACTAGGTCCACACACTTCCTGCTCCAAGAGCCTTATCGTACCTCTTCTTAAAGCTATGTACGGATCCTACCTCCACTACATCATTCTCCAGATTGTACCACTTCGAGATAAGTCGTAATAAACGACTGTCAGTGAATAAACAGAAGAATAGACGGGGATTTCAACCATGATCCTAAATGGTAGCAGGTCATGCGTTCTACCACTGGGCTACGAGACGTCTTTTGGAATGCTTCACAGACAGCACTACAGCACTGCTTTGTTATGTCTGCTTCAAAGGCCACCTTCTGTGACCCAACTGTGGGAAAGGACAAATACATACACAAACACACATACGTATGATAATGCACATACAGAAATTCATATGCACAAATTTACACACACACACACACACACACACACACACACACACACACACACACACACACACACACACACACACACACACATATTTTTATATTTTGCTGCACTATAACTTTATGACCACCCTCCACTTTTCCTTTTACGCGCATTAAAGTTGAGGAGACTGGGCTTATGGGACACTGATAACTGTCTGGGATTGTGCAACGACCAAAATACACACATCGTTTTGGATATGTTTGCAGTCTATCTCAACGTCAACTTTTTTTTTCTTTATACGTTTAAATATTTTTTTGTTCATACACTATATAGGTTAGGTTAGCGTCACATAACGAAGTTGAATAAATTAAAATAAACATTAAGACAGGCTCGCCTTGATATAGTACTATCTCGATGAATGTGCAAAAAAACAGCAACCTGTCGTCTTCGTAAGTTAGTTACTCGTATGAAGAGGTATTCCAACACATACTTAGTCAAAATACTTGAAACCTCAGTGGACCAGGGCTTTGATATACCTTTAACCTTTGGTGTATGTCTTTGACCTCTGATACCTTTAACCTTTAACATGCCTTTGATGGATTTCGAGAGTTTTCTACTCTCGCAGCCCGGCACTTAGCCAGGCTGACGGTTTCTTGCCTCGTCAGCCAGGCTGTTGCTGCTGGCAGCTTGCAAGTAGTATGATTTCTAGTTGTGTTCTTTCCTAAGATGCGACACATACCCGCTTACTGACACATACATAGGTACATTAACTATTTACTATTACAACATGGGCAGCAGGTGTAAGGAGACTTGTCCATACGTGCCTCCCTGTCCAGGAATCAAACCTGGGTCCTTTCGGTTAAAAGCTGAATTCTCTACCACTAGGATACTTATCGCACAAGTACCTCGTACTGTATTATTTAACAGGTTGTTGCTACAGCATAGAATCAATGCAAATTTAGCAGCACACTAACACAAACTATACAATTATAGCACAACATACCTTAGATATACCTGGAGAGGGTTCTGGGGGCCAACGCTCCCGCGGCCCCGATCTGTGACCAGGCCTCATGGTGGATCAAGGCCTAATCAACTAAGCTGTTACTGTTGGCCGCACGCAAACCAACGTACGAACCACAGCCCAGCTGGTCAGGTACTGACTTTAGGTACCTGTTCAGCGCCTTCTTGAAGACAGCCAGGGGTCTATTGGTAATTTCCCTTATGTATGCTGGGAGGCGGTTGAACAGTCTTGGGCCTCTGACGCTTACTGTGTTGCCTCTTATCGTGCTAATGGTGCCCCTGTTTTTTTATTGGGGGGATGTTGCATTGTTTGCCAAGTCATTTGCTTTCATAGGGAGTGATTTTCGTGTGTAAATTTGGTACTACTCCCTCTAGGATTTTCCAGTTGTATATAATCATGTATCTCTCCCGCCTTCATTCTGAGGAGTACAGGTTGAGGAACTCCAAGTGTTGCCAGTAATTGAAGTGTTTTATTGCAGTTATGTGTGCTGTGAAGGTTCTCTATACATTTTCTAGGTCAGCAAGTTCACCTTCCTTGAAAAGTGCTGTTAGTGTGCAGCAATATTCCAGCCTAGATAGAACAAGCGACCTGAAGTGTGTCATCATTGGCTTGGTATCTCTAGTTTTGAAGGTTCTCATTATCCATCCTGTCATTTTTCTAGCAGATGCGATTGAAAGTGAGGTCCTGTTACATTATCACTCCCAGGTCTTTTACATTATTTATTTGCTCTATTGTGTGGTTGGAATTTGTTTTATACTGCGATATGGTTTTAATTTCCTCACCTTTTCCTTACTGGAGTAATTGAAATTTCTCATCATTGAACTTCATGTTGCTTTTTGTGCCCCATTTATACCTAGAATTCATAATAAGCATTCATATTTATTAAGTCAATCATTTATGTATGATACACAACCTGCATATAGGAGAGAGGAGCTTACAGCATTGTTTCTGTCCGACTGAAACGTCGTCATAAGCTCCTTTCTCCTATATGCAGGTTATTTGTGCATTGTTCTGTCACGGTATTGTGCCTTTTTTGTTATTTATGTATGATACAATCAGTAGTAGTTGAGTATTGTTGCAGTACTGTATCTACCTATTTAGTTTTGTGTGTTACGGTACATGTATTAATAACGTTATATATTCATTTATTATACTTATGTGGTATTAAACACTTGTTATACCTCGTTTACTTGTTTCAAATTAGGCAGTGAATTTTTAGTTAGTTTTTCATAGGGGATGCTAAGTATTAGATTTCTATAGAAAAGCTTTACATTACAGGTGACAGTGGACCTGAGCAGTGTGTGGATCAGAGACGGTGTGACGGTGAGTCACAGGGAGAACTATGCTGGACCATCGATGTTCCTTCAGTCCTTCAGAGAAGTGAGCCACCCTGTACTAGTAAGGTTTTCTGTCTTATATTCATTAAAGCATCATACATGCAAATAAAATTACACAAGTTTTGGGTAATTACAATTGTCATACATAATGTGTGTAAATTACCCAGTTGATAATTCCCAAAAAGTCAGTGACTTATTTTTATTGGGATCCTTGTAATATTCATTATATTAGCAGCCTATGTTGCTGTTAGATACGGTAGAAATCAATCATGATTATAACCATAAAGATAAAACAGACTAGATCAATTCTTTGATATTTAGTGCTATTAGATTCATTAGAAATCAATCATGATTTTAACCATAAAAAATGAAATACGTACACTAAATAATTTTTTGGATATTTAAGGCCAGAAATGAATGACTGACTAAACTGGATGTTGCTTACATCAGTAATAATTGCACATCATTACAGATGTAGGCAGTGTTGTAATACGTTACCACAGTGGAGAGGAGAGTGGTAATGCATGTTTGGGGTCATCTGCGGTGCTACGAGTTGTAAGGCTAAGTGATGGATCTGCCTCTGATTCCTCAGAAGAAGAGACCCTCCATTCATCATTGACTTTGCAGCACTCTCTCTCCTGCACACGATTTATCCGTTTTACACTTTCAAGTAAGTATGGCTTGTTTCTTTCCCCTCCCTATTATAGATTTTTTCTAGGCTAAATGACAAGAAGAGTGGGTAATGTTTATGTACCTTATCGTATGCTTAACTTACAACTAATCTGGGGGTCGCCGCCTACACGGCCCATCCCGAACCAGATGTCTTGGTTGCTGGCCTGATTGACCAGACTGTTGATGCCAACTGCTTGCAATCCAACACATGTTCCACAGCCCAGCTGATCAGGAACTGACTTGAGCTTATCAAGTTCTTTTTTAAAGTCTGCTAGAGGTTTGTTGGTAATTCCCTTTATGTATAAGGAAGGACATTGAAAAGTCTAGGTTCTCATACACTTATTGAACTCTCTTCTTGTACTCCTTGCACCCCTGTCATTTTATTGGAGGTGCTTTGCACCATCTGCCAAGTCTTTTACTTTCATATGGAGTGATTTCAGTGTATAGGTTTGGGACCTGTCCCTTGATGATTTTCCAGGTGTAAATTATGAGAAACTCTTTCCTCCTACATTGCTAGGAGTACAATTCAGAGTAGTACTTAAGTGTTTCCAGTACATAGCTCAAATGTTTCATTGAATCCATAAGAGCCATGAAGGTTCTTTGTACACTGTCTAGAATATCTCCTGCTGTGAAGGGGGCTGTTAGTATATACTGCAGTATTCCAGCCTGGAGAGAGCAGGTGACTTGAAGAGTGTCATCATTGGTTGAGCTTTTCTTGTTTGGAATGTTCTCATTATCCAGTCTATCATTTTACTCATGGTAATGATAGCAATATTATTGTGAGCCTTGAATGTGAGGGCTTCTGAGAGTGTCATTCCCATGCCTCACACATTAAACTTCCACTGTACTGAATGATTTGAATCTGTATTGTACTCCATTTTAGTCTTTATTTATTTTAGTTTTTAGTTTTTCCATAGTGTAGCAACTGGAAGATATGATTCATAGCTACTTGGAGATTTGCTGTGTCTTCGATGGATGCCACTCATAAAACTACTGGTATCAGTAGCAAATGATGATAAGGTGCTATAATGTCTGTCCTTGTATATGTCAGATTTAAAAATGGGAAATAGAAATGTGGCAAGTAATATACCTTGAGGAACAGAGCTTTTCTCAAAGGCAACCTCCAACTCCACTTTGTATATTACTACTCTCTGGGGTTCTATTTGTTTAGAAGTTAAATGTCCATCTGCAGACTTTCTCCTGCTATTCCTTTTACCTGCATTTTGGTTAAGACGTGTTGAAGGCTTTTGTAAAATCAGTGTACACAACATTTAGCTTCTGTTTTAATACTTTTATTTATAATTAAAAGACTCAATTAACCTATTTGGGTCATTCAGCACAAATCTTACAAATATTAGGCATAATGCCAGCAAACAGTGGAATAAAAACTATATGCAGCACTTTAGACATTTATTAGATGTTTTGTCAGTATAGATGACAAATTGGTCCAGTACAAAGAAGAGAAAAAAAAATGAAGTTTAGGCTAGAAGGCAGGTGAATAAAGTGGAGTCAGGTGCAGTGAGGTCTGGTGATGGTAATAGCATCAACTATTCATACATCATGGGGGCAGGGTAGAAAATTTTCTAATTTTTACCTGGTACTGTACTGTATTTAGAATGTTTTGATTCATATTTCTTTAAATGTGGACACATCTGAATTTTCAGGAAGGGTTTTGTATGTGGTTGAATCTTCAAGATAGGAAGTTACCATAGATGAAGAGATAAACATATCATATGTACAATATTTATATATACAGTGCTGTATTACAAAAGAAGGAATTTATTTGATAATTTTTAAGCATATGGTAATACAGTATTGCATAGGTTGAAATTGTTTTCATAATTGTTAAGAGCCTGTGAAACTTCTTATATCTGAAATGTAAGTGAAATTTAGCTTTCATGACATCATGGTAAAGTGTAATGTTGTATTGTAGTCTTGTAATATACATTGTTGTTTAAAGACTAAGTCATACTGTTTCATTCAGATATATCAGCTCATGGGCTACGGAGGGGTATATTTTTTCAACCTGACCCTTATGTGAAGCTGCGCATACTTCCTGGGGAATCTCGGACACTGTTACCTCATCATGGACAGGAAGCACGCTCCTCTGTGGTGGAGAATACTGTCAACCCTTCATGGAAGAGACAGGTTTGTTACTCATGAAGCTGATATTTATTTCATAGTGTATTTAGTTTCACATTTGACTACAGTTTATAAAAATAAATACAGTAATAGTATTAAAGAAATTATAGTTATAAGTACAGCTAGCCTCAGTCACCAGTTTCTTAGAATATATGCTGTTTATTTATCTTGTTATTGCTATCGCTCTTTCTTTTTATCCTGTTTTGCAGTACTGTAGTGTATTAACTCCTCATGTATAATTTGTCTTGATTATCCTGCAGTTGACTATTAAAGCCTTTCTTCATTACAAGAATTTTTATTCTGTACTTGCTTGTGATCAGGTTTTATATAGAATATATTGTCAGGTAGCTATCAGGTTTGTTATGCTTTTCTCAGATTATTGTTTGTACCTTACATCCCTTTTTTTTTTATGTACCTGTATACTGTATTGCACTGTAAGTGATGCTCTTAAATAATTTAATTTTACATTTTTGACATGTAAAATTCTCTCTACAAAATGGAGAAGTGTGTGTATAAAAGGGGGTGAGGGATGTGGCTGTTGTCTTTATCTTGGTCTGCTTGTACTTTTCATTGCAACTTTTGTATTTGTAAAGAAATTTTTTTGAAGTTCACGTCTTAATGTTTACTTAGTAAAATTTATTCTTCTTAAATGGAATAACATACACTGAAAGTTCAGAGTATTGATTTTTATGGGCAGGTTTTGAATAATTGCCTGAGGCACATATTACTTTCTAGATTTTTTTTTTTTTTTTTGCAGAATTTAATTCTGTGTAAGTAAGTACAAAATTTCAAAAGGCAAAAATTTTTTATGTAAATGAAGTTATTAATGCCTTCAACAGTAAATAGTTTCTCACTGTCTTTCAGGAATTTACCTTTGTTGCATATTTACATGATGTATTGGAAGTTGAATTGAAGGATAAGTTCGCTAAAAGTCGCCCTATCATCAGCCGATTTCTTGGTCGACTTACCATCCAGGTAGCTACACTCAAAGAACGGGTTAAAAGGTAAAATATATTTTGTATTTGTCTGAGTTATATGTCGGAGGATTTTAAATTTTTTTTTTGTTCAAAAGTCGACCTTTCTCTCCACAGAGCAGGGTGACCCAAAAAAGAAAGAAAATCCACCAAAAAGAAATAGCATTCTCATCATTCACACTTTACCACACTCGCACATTATCACTTTTTTCAGAGGTGTTCAAAACAACATCTAGGAACATACAAATAAAGATAGACATTATCCTCCAAACTACATATTCCATCTTTGGATGTCGGAGGATGTTAACAAATATTTAAGAGAATGCCAACCTTATTCTGTGAAATTATATATCAATGCTTTTATATTTAGATTGACAAAATGAGCAATGATTGCTGTCTACGTATGACGAAGAAAACTCTAGAACATTTTGAATTAATTATTTTAACAAATATACCTAGAAATTATGCTATGAATAAGTGTTTCTTTAATTAATGAAAAACTTTGCCATTTCTTTTATAATTGTATTGCACGACAAAATTTTAGCTCGAATCATATTTCAAGTAATTATCAAGTCCCATTTTTAATTTATTTTTAGATGTAAATAAATATCATTTTTTTAACATTTAATAAACTGGCAACCCGGCTACAAGTTAAAAAACTGATTCCTTGACCTACCAGAAAACAATTTGTTCGTAGTATATCAGATCAGTTTTCCTCATTTAAATTAAGTGAAATGCAATTAATCCATTCCAGTGGAATTCCTGCTCTTGGGAGGCAGGACAAAATACTTCAATATAATGCTGATTAATATATTTAATATTATAATTTGTATATTTATTTATTTATTTATTTATTTTTTTTTTTTTCAACAAGTTGGCCATCTCCCACCGAGGCAGAGTGATCCAAAAAAGAAAGAAAATCCCCAAAAAGAAAATGCTTTCATCATCATTCAACACTTTCACCACACTCACACATAATCACTGTTTTTGCAGAGGTGCTCAGAATACAACAGTTTAGAAGCATATACGTATAAAGATACACAACATATCCCTCCAAACTGCCAATATCTATATTTATATTTATATTTATATTTATTTTAATTTAATATACAGTGGTCCCTCAATAATCGTCCATAATCCGTTCCTGGAAGTGGGACTATTATCGAAATGGACGATTTTCGAATCAATTTTCCCCATAAGAAATAATGTAAATCCAATTAATATCGTTCCAGACACCTAGAAGTATCAACAAAAATTTTTTTTTTTACCTAAAAGATAGATTTACATGCACAAAAGAATGAACATTCAACATGACAGTTACCTTTATTGAAGGCTGTTGTTGATGAATGGAAGACAGGGAGGAGGAGAGAGGGAAGAGAGGTTATTTGGAAGGGGAATCCCCCTCCATAAGGACTCTAGGGCACTAATAAAATGTATAAATGAACATTGGTAATAGGGGTAGTTGATGAGTGGAATGGTCTTCCTAGTAGGGTGATCGAAGCTAAAACATTGGGTAGTTTCAAATTTAGGTTGGATAAATACACGAGTCAGAGGGGTTGGATTTGAGTCGGACTTGCACCTGAGCTTATTGCTTGGGTAGCATTTGTTCTGTTAGTGGGTTGGATTTGTGAAGGACCGGCCTAGTATGGGCCAACAGGCTTATTGCAGTGTTCATCCTTTCCAATGTTCTAAAAGCTATGGCTTGGGTAGTTTCAAATTTAGGTTGGATAAATACACAAGTGAAAGGGGTTGGATTTGAGCCGGACTTGCACCTGAGTTTATTGCTTGGGTAGCATTTGTTCTGTTTGTGGGTTGGATCTGTGAAGGACCGGCCTAGTATGGGCCAGCAGGCCTGTTCCAGTGTTCCTACTTTCTTAAGTTCTTATTTAACATCACACTTACCAGTAGGGTGATCGAGGCTAGGACCTTGGGAAGCTTTAAGAAGAGATTGGCAAATATACGAGTTGGAGGAGCTGAGTTTGATTTGTGTCATTGGGTACGGGAGTAAATTCTTGAGTAGCTTTGGGTGGAGGTCATTTTGATAAGGACCTGCAGTGTTCTTCCATTGTTATGTTCTTATTGGCTATTTGTTTGTGTGAGGGAGGGATGGCAAGTTTATTGTTGGAGAATATGACACTAATATCAACTCTATGGCTTATTTATCTATCACAATTCAACTAATATGACATAATAAACAATATTAATAACATAGAAACATGGAATATACTCTAGAATGAATAAAATAAGTCATTACGTATGTCACGAGAGGTGTTGTGTTGTGTTGTTGGTGGGTATATAAGGGCCACTGAGTGTAAGCCGTCCATAATGGTGGTGAAGCAGCAGCTGAGTCGGCGGTGGTTTTTGTAGCCCTATATAACTCCAACAACATTGGAGGAGTTGGTAGAATCACTGAATCACTAAAGAAGGAACCCACTACCACCATCACTATGACCTTCTACCACTATTACAACTGTTACCACCATCACTACTACCTTCTACCACCATCACTACCACCAAAGAAAGCTTCTAGTGCCAGCCCTTTGGTAAAGAATGTGAGAAACACATAATTTATGAAAAAGTTTGTAGAAAAATACAAAGATGGTGGTGGTAGAGTGGAAACAGTTGTGATAGTGGTTGATGAACATAAGAACATAAGAAAGGAGGATCACTGCAGCAGGCCTGTTGGCCCATGCTCGGCAGGTCCTTTACAATTCATCCCACTAACGAAACATTTTCCCAACCCAGTCCCAATGCTACCCAGAAATAAGCTTGATAACTCTATCCATCATTTGGGACTTGGCAATGAGTGATTAGAGTATCAGAGCTTATTTCTTGGGTAGCATTGAGGACTGGGTTGGGAAAATGTTTCGTTAGTGGGATGAATTGTAAAGGACCTGCCGTGCATGGCCAACAGGCCTGCTGCAGTGATCCTCCTTTCTTATGTTCATCAACCTATCACAACTGCTTCCACTCTACCACCACCATCTTTGTATTTTTTTACAAACTTTTTCATAAATTATGTGTTTCTCACATTCTTTACCAAAGGGCTGGCACTAGAAGCTTTATTTGGAGCCACTAAAATCAATGGAATATTATGAAATATTTTGTAGGAGCATGTGGAGGACCGTCACTCACTGGTAAACAATGGCACACTGGCTGGGAAGGAAAGGCCGAGGCGGCTCAGAGCGTGAGTACGCGTCTGGGACGAAGGACTATTAGGACTATTAGCGAGTTACCGGACCATTTGCGAGCCAATATTTTGACGAAAAAACAAGACTATTTCCGAAATGGACGACTTTCAGGCCGGACGATTATTGAGGGACCACTGTATTTATATTTAATATTTATTTTAATTTAACATATTTATATTTAATATTTAATTTAATATATTTATGTTTATTTAATATATTATTATTTTTTTTTTTTTACAAGTCGGCTGTCTCCCACCGAGGCAGGGTGACCCACAAAAGAAAGAAAATCCTGAAAAAGAAAATACTTTCATCATTCAACACTTTCACCTCACTCACACATAATCACTGTTTTTGCAGAGGTGCTCAGAACACAACAGTTTAGAAGAACATACGTATAGAGATACACAACATATCCCTCCAAACTGCTAATATCCCCAACCCCTCCTTTAGAGTGCAGGCATTGTACTTCCCATTTCCAGGACTCAAGTCCGGCTATATAAAAATAACCAGTTTCCCTGAATCCCTTCACTAAATATTACCCTGCTCACACTCCAACAGATCGTCAGGCCCCAAATACCTTTCGTCTCCATTCACTCCTATCGAACACGCTCGTGCACGCCTGCTGGAAGTCCAAGCCTCTCGCCCACAAAACCTCCCTTACCCCTTCCTTCCAACCTTTTCTAGGATGACCCCTACCCTGCCTTTTTTCCCCTACAGATTTATATGCTCTCCATGTCATTATACTTTGATCCATTCTCTCTAAATGACCAAGCCACCTCAACAACCCCTCTTCAGCCCTCTGACTAATACTTTTATTAACTACACATCTTCTAATTTCCACACTCCGAATTTTCTGCATAATATTTACACCACATATTGCCCGTAGACAGGACATCTCCACTGCCTCCAACCGCCTCCTCGCTGCTGTATTCACAACCCAAGCTTCACACCCATATAAGAGTGTTGGTACTATTATACTTTCATACTTTCATACATTCCCTTCTTTGCCTCCATAGATAATGTTTTTTTGTTTCCACATATACCTCAGCGCACCACTCACCTGTTTTCCCTTATCAATTCTATGATTAACCTCATCCTTCATAAATCCATCCGCCGACACGTCAACTCCCAAGTATCTGAAAACATTCACTTCTTCCATACTCCTTCTCCCCAATTTGATATCCATTTTTTCTTTATCTAAATCATTTGGTACCCTCATCACCTTACTCTTTTCTATGTTCACTTTCAACTTTCTACCTTTACTCACACTCCCAAACTCATCCACTAACCTTTGCAATTTTTCTTTAGAATCTCCCATGGGCACGGTATCATCAGCAAAAAGCAACTGCAAATACCATTTTGTATTTGATTCCCCATAATTTAATCCCACCCCTCTCCCGAACACCCTAGCATTTACTTCTTTTACAACCCCATCTATAAATATATTAAACAACCATGGTGACATTACACATCCCTGTCTAAGACATACTTTTACTGGGAAGTAGTCTCCCTCTCTTCTACACACCCTAACCTGAACCTGACTATCCTCATAAAAATTCTTTACAGCATTTAGTAACTTACCACCTATTCTATATACTTGCAACATCTGCCACATTGCTCCCCTATCCACTCTATCGTATGCCTTTTCTAAATCCATAAATGCAATAAAAACTTCCCTACCTTTATCTAAATACTGTTCACATGTATGCTTCAATGTAAACACTTGATCTACACATCCCCTACCCACTCTCAAATCTCCTTGCTCATCCTCAATCCTACATTCTGTCCTACCTCTAATTCTTTCAATTATAACCCTACCGTACACTTTTCCTGGTATAC